AATAAAATTATTTATCACTTTGTAAGACTTTCTATTTAAATAGCGAGTCATTCATCATAATCGTATGCATTACAAACTTTTGAAAAATTAAGTTTATCAACAAATAGATGGATGTTTCAGAGCCTTCGCAAGGTAATAAATTTCTTCAGCCGATCAAAACCATATGTGTTCTTGGTGGTTCTAGACTGGTAAGTTTTTCTCAAAATGTTGAAATTGTGAGTCAGTTAGTAAGGGATATAGGAAATCAAAAAATCACTTTACTGTATGGAGGGACTAGCATCACTTTCTTTGATAATCTTTTATTGGCTGGAAAATGTTTTGAGATAGAAGTGAAAAGTATCATACCTTTTCATAGAGCTTCAACAAGGATCGTCAAGGATTCCATATGCATGATGCTAACTCATTCTATATATGATTGTATGATGGATATGGCAAACAAGAGCGATACATTTATCATTCTTCCAGGCGGTTATGGAATGCTAGTGACAATGTTCATCCTTGCTTCTTGGGCAGAATTGAAACTTCATAACAAGCCCATAGGTCTATTGAATTTTAATAACTTCTTTTCTGGTTTGCTTGGATTTTTAGACCAAGGAGTATATCAAACATTTATATCTCCTCCAACGAGAGAAGTATTCAAATCTGCAGATACGTCTGCTGAGCTTATTAAAAAGCTACAAGAATGCATCACATTTCAAGAGTCTGTGGAAACACAAGGGGTTAAGCGAAAAAGAGCTTTTGATCCTTTAGATCTCTCATTATGAACCTGGATAACAATAATGGGTGGCAGAGTTACGGAGTTTTATACTCTCGAGACACACCCTTCTTTTATGGGTTCTATTATGTAATATTTGCGTATCTCGTATTTATCGAGTATGTACTGCCTCTTCTCCATATTTCCATCATATGAAATTTTTTGTACTTGTTTCTTATTAATAATAATATCAATTTCACTTTTCCACAATATGAGCGTGTAGTACTTTTATGACTACAATCATTTACCATATGTGTTTCTTCTAGAGCACTTTATTGTAATATCTATAGGATCTCGAATCTCAATGTGATCTGAAATAGTCCCTTAGACTCATATAATATATTTAGAAATCATTTTGTTGATCACCCATAACTGGTAACTTTTGGTACCACTTTCTAATTTTGTTCAATCATCCAATGGTAGCTTTTGGTACCATTTCATCATAACGTGGTAATTCAAGTATCATTATACCACAATATCATTATTATGTGGTAGTTTTTGGTATCATATGTAACTTTTGGTACCATCTCATCAATTTTCGTTACTCCATAAATTTGGATAATTTATCAACTGATTTCAGGATCAGATCAGTACATAAATGCACGTTCACGATAAGGACTTTAATTAACTTTCACATGGCCAGATACAAAGTATCATTACTTTCACTCATCGGATATTACTTAATTTGCACTGGCCGTCGCCGGCGGTAGAGCCGCATTGGCCGGCCCATATATATATATATATATAGCCATTCATATCCTTTTATATGTACCATTTGTTGCACATGGCTTTACCATAGGGTCATTCCACATCATCGACTATTATTAATTAATACACTGGCCGATTTATAGAGTCGTTCAATATTACCTGTTGCTGGTGGCTGCAACACTTGACCATTTCATATGGTTGTCATATTATTTTGATCAGCAATTGACCCGTCAGTTACCATTAAATATGAGCAATGGATTTTTTTTGTTAATGATATGGTTGCTAATATAGACACATTAGGAACAAAACTATCTGTTACAAAAATTGTAGCTAATGAAATAGATTAGTAACAGACATTTCCATTTCAGATTCGGTTGCTGCTAGTAAATATTAGAAACGAATATATCAGTTGCAGATTTGGTTACTACTACTCTACCATTAGAAAGGATCTTGGTTGTTGCAAAAATTGTTGCAAATAGTAACGAACTGTTTTCCGTTTCCGAGCATTAGCCACCCTGTTTTCACTAACAAATTATGAAACGGAATTTGTTTGTTTCTGATGTGTATTAGTAACAGAAAAATACCCTTAAGCAACAATAATTTCCGTTTCTGATTCTTCAATTTCTAGTAGTGATGGGCCTCATCCTATCAATTTGTAATAAATGTTCTCCACCAATAATAACAATTATTATTATTATTTTACTTAGCCTATCACATAAACTTTCACCCTCCTGTCGACAATCAATTCGTACCTTTTATTATTTATTTATTTATTTTTTCATTCAAATCTCATGTCAATTAAATTAAACCTCACCTAATATATACCAACTACTTTTAGTTTAGTTGACAATCAGATTGGTGATTGAAGTTTAGTTGAAGGCAGTAATACATGAATTTTTTAGAGATTGGGTAAGATCAAACCTTTTCCATATTATCAGTTGTTCGCTGAGTTGGGTGGGGAAAAGCCGTTCACACTTTGTCAAATGGTAAGCCTCCATGGCGCTGTACTTATTCTCAATCATATTGACTACGGCCACTACCCGATTCCTAGCCTATCGATAGCGAGCCCCAACGACGAATTTCTCCCCAAGCCGGCACCAACGACCGGAATCTCCTGCATAGCGTCACCGGAACCACCCAAAGATTGTAATGTGTTGGAGAAATGACTTGGAAGAAAACGTCCACATATTTGGTCCAAGGTATGAGCTCTTTTTCCATATTTTCTTTCTCTGTTTTCACGCAGCCCATTTCTCTTTTGATTCCCTATTTTCTTGAATTTGCTGAAATTAAAGAACTAGTGGAAAAGAGCTTATTTGGCTGGTCAAAACTATTATTAATAATGATACATGTATTTGGCAGGGGAGTTGAAAGTGATGAATCAAAGGGAAAAAGTATATGGTGCACAATTGAGGAAAATGCTGCCATTTTTCCTTCTTTATACTTTCACCTGTTTGCTTAAGATTTTTTTTTTTTGGATAAACTGGGAGAAAATCTGGGGAGACATTGATGCAAACAGATATTCTTGATATTGATTAATGTGCTCAATAATCGATATCAGAAGGGCAGCTAATGAGGAAATGGATGATTATTTCAAAAATAATGATTTGTAACACGTAGATTTCTGATATGAAGGATCATCTCTAAGATGCAACCGTAGAGCATACTCTCGTTATATTACAAATCGAGCTCTAGAGGGTAGAGACTCGTGCTGATAACGTGTTATAAAATTAGAGGGAAAAGAGAGAGAATAGAGAAAATATTTCTCTTAGGTACCATTTTCATTATAACTGAAGCTCCTATTTATAGGAAACTTCTGATGGCACAACCGTAATAATACACTTACATCAGGGACAAAATAGTCATTCACATACATTATTTTATAAATATTTCACAACAAATATATATTTAATTGTTATGCATTTGTATGAATTCCAAAGGTTCTTTTAATAATTTTTTTTTTGTAGCAATTGTACTAGTATTTCATTAACAATTGTACTAGCATTTGCATGGGCAACTGTACTAGTATTTCATTAACAACCAACAAAATTTTATTGGAGATCCTTCCATTTTTTAAATTTAGTTTTTTATTGCTTATCTCAAATAAGTAATTAAGTTAAATCTTTACTTTTAATTATATCTTGTTAGCCATCTGAAAAAAATTTAATTTAATTTTCTTGATTATCTGAAGTTATTTCTATCAACGAACTTTTAAAAAATTGAGACTATAATTTTATTTTAAACTATAGTTTTTAAACCTGGCCAGAAAATCGACCCGGGCAGATTTTTGGGTCACCGGGTTATCAGTTTAACCATCGTGTCACCGTGTTGATTGTTGAACAGGATAATTAACTTTAAAATTTTTAAAATTATATATAAAGTATTTTTGACATATAAATATCTATAAAAGTAACAGAAATAAATGTTTTGCATATAGAATTTGTACATCAAAGCGTTAAATAAATTATCTCACAATAAATATTTCTTGTATCAATATATTTATAGAGTTTTTAATTTTTATATAAAAAATATTTTAAAAAAAATATTCACAAGGGCCGGGTAAACTGGGTCATAGACGGGTTGGGCGGGTGTCGACCAAATTTGATCGAGTTCATTGTTACCCGGTCTAAATAGCCTACCCAGACTGATTTTAGTTTTGGGTCGGCTGGGTCCCGATTCGACCCATCGAGTCGATCCGGGTTGAAAAACAATGTTTTAATTTTCCAATGTTAATGTTTTAGAGTAATATTTAATTTAAAAGACAACTTCCTGTTTTTTAATTTTCCAACCTATTTGGTCTTTTTTTCTAAATAGAGAAGCTATTTCCAAATTTATCCCTTGTCACATAAATTTGCCCCCAGGAGCAGTTGACCAAGATCCTGCGGTACAACGTGGCACCATCTGATTCGCTAATTTTCCTCCGTGGACGTGGCGATGTCCAGATGGTGAATCTCGTTTCTACGGTTACAAGAATACAGAACCCTACAGTGTGTTGTACCTTTGACTATCATACGAAAAGCTCACCTATGCGGTCAAAACGTACAACACTTTTAGGCGCATAACTCTCTCTGTATCTCTCTCTCACGCTGAGAACTCGCACACTCTGAAGGTTCACCGATCCATCTTCGTGCAGTTACAGAGAAAATAGAACAACTTTCAGGTTATCTTTGAAGTTTTTTGGATATGTTTGTGTTCTATGTGCGAATTTATCATGTTTTCTCTAAGTTTATTTGATTTGCTTTGTGTTTTAAGATTGGATTTTTCCTCACAGAGTTTCTAAAATTTCCAATTTTTTTTTTTTTTTTTTTTTTTTTTTTTTTTTTTTTGTCAAGGAATTTAGTTATATGAATAGTGAAATGGGGTTCTTCAAATTTTGTTTATAATGTTATTTTTTAGGCGTGTAAAATCATGGCAGATTTGTGAAAATTGGGTGTTGTTGTGGATTACTCAGTTTGTATCTTTGTGCGTATTCAGTTCTAAGTATGTGAGTAATTTTTGTAAGTTTGACAGAAAGATCAAGATTTCTCAGTAAGACATTGCAATGAAGAATAACGAGCGCCTGGCTAATGTGGCCCTTGCAGGTATAATCTTTGTGATGCTACTTTCTTTTTCTTGTCTTTAGCTCTTTAATCTTCGTATTGGTAGATAGACGATCTTTCTGTAGTATTACCGAAGCCAAATGAAACTATGTTTCGACAGTCCATTCTCTAACTGTGTTCGATGATGAGCGTGTGGTATTTTTCTTTAGTTGTTTAGTGATTACTTTTTTGTCCATTGCAAATGGAGCTGGAAGAGTCATTGTTGACAATTCTCCTGGCATAGTGCTAATAATTGACTAGATCAAAATGGCTCAATTAAGTTCTAGTGCTTCTTCTATTAGTGAAGTTTCTTGAAAAAAAAATATATCAAACGATGCAATGCACCTTGGGTCGCTACGGAATCATCCTCCTTGTATAATTACAAGGGTAAGGTCTGCGTACAACTGATCCCCCCCCGACCCCAACCAGTTGGGAATATACTGGGTATGTAGTTGTTGTTGTTGTTGTTTAGTGATTACTTTATGCTTTACTTGCATTAGTTGGACAAAATTACATCCTATCTGTTTTGTGGAAGCATGCTGTCTATGTGGATAGAAGTTATTTACCACTGAGGCAATCTGTGTTGATGTTTGTTGAACTTGCAAACATCAACTTATGTTTATTTTCTTTTCACTTTCTTTTTTCTTATTTAAGCCTGATTGGTAAAGATCGTTTCTCTTATAGTAGGAGATTACGACTAGGTCGAAACATATTTCAAGTCATTGAGCTCATGTTCTCTCTGTCAACATCTGCTTGTTATTAAGGACCATGAAGAAAAAAATTGCAGATTCAATATACTAGAATTTAATTTTACAAATGTGTGAACTCGTTACCCTGTCTACTGTGAATCACGCGCTTTGTTGTTGTCTACAGGGTTGACACTAGCACCCCTTGTTATGAATGTAGACCCAAATCTAAATGTCATTTTAACAGCATGTCTTACGGTGTATGTTGGTTGCTACCGTTCTGTTAAGGCGACCCCACCATCGGTAAATGAATCTAGCAATTTCATATTTAGAGTATGTTTTATTAGGCATTTGTATTATTCACCTTTTCTTGTGCTTGAAACTTTGGCAGGAGACAATGTCCAAGGAACACGCAATGCGTTTCCCATTGGTGGGCAGTGCAATGTTGTTGTCACTGTTTTTGCTTTTCAAGTTTCTATCGAAAGATTTGGTCAATACTGTCTTGACGGCCTATTTTATAGTTCTTGGTATCGTTGCTCTTTCGTAAGTTTCATGCCATAGGACCTATTCGGACAAAAAATATGTTTCTAATTTTTTAGTAATATTTAAGATCATATTATGTGTATTTTTGTATCAACCTTATTTTATTTTGACTTTGTAGGGCAACGTTATTACCTGCAATCAAAAGATTTCTTCCCAAACCGTGGAATGATAATGTCATTGTTTGGCGTTTCCCATATATCCGGGGTACGGACATGCCATTGCTTTACATAAGCTGTTTTTATGCATCTACTTGTTTTTGTTTCTCTATTTTTGCTTGTCTTTTTCTTCTTCTTTTCTTTTTAATTATTGAACATGATCAATATAGTTCTGCCTCGTTATCTGTAACACTTCATGCTTTAGTTTCCTCATTAGGGATGACCACAATTTGCACTTCACTTCCTTGAACAAATACAAATCCTCTCTAAAGTGCTTTTACTTGAAAAACAAAATTTAACCAGCAAGGCTTCGTTGTTCTATATTGTATATTTGTATGTTACTCACTTAATTACCAAATACGTATGAATGCATTTCTTAAACTTTTTTTTTTTCTCAATGGCATTGTAAGCAAATTACAAGTATACCCTACAAGATCTCATGGCTTTCAATGTTATCTGCTTCACATTATCGTGCTTATTTAGTTTCTTTCTCCCAGAATGATACTTATACTTACATGTTTATTGTATAGCATTGGAGTTTGAGTTCACAAAATCACAGATAATAGCAGCAATTCCTGGAGCTTTCTTTTGTGCATGGTATGCTTCAAAGAAGCATTGGTTGGCTAACAATACTTTGGGCCTTGCTTTCTGCATTCAGGTTTGTTAGTGCCGTATTTACCTTCAATTCCTTAGAAGAACAGGCTCGTGCAAATGCATGAAACTTCACTCTACTCGCAGAATGTGAAGCTTTCATATGTATTGAGTATTTTCATTTTTCCCGTATTGCAGGGAATTGAAATGCTTTCGCTTGGCTCGTTCAAGACCGGTGCTATTCTGTTGGTAAGTACAGCATTATTAATTAAACTCATGGATCATAAATTTATCTAACGCATATAATTACAAGGCCTTGTGTGTTGAACTAAGTTATCACCCTTTCTTTGGGTATGCCAACTAACCGAAAGAATTATAGACATTAGAAATCTGGCCTCTTTCTTCTTCTTCCTTTTTCTTTGTGTGTGGTCTTGTACAGTAATGAAATCTGGTATGATCTACATTTGGATCCATGCTATTTCATCATGATATATGAGAGTTTCTCATTTGGTTTACTTTACGATTCATTATTTCTTTTAAGAATTTAAATGCATTCATTTGATGCACATATTTTGTCTTTTTTTTTTTTCAATATGCAGGGTGGGCTCTTCCTATACGACATATTTTGGGTCTTTTTTACCCCTGTGATGGTCAGCGTTGCTAAATCCTTTGATGCTCCCATAAAGGTTTTGCACACTCCATGTCTTTTTAACTTGTCTAATCACCTAGCTTTCAACAATCCTGCTTGGTGGCCCTGGCTCATCTATTATTATTTAATTATTCGTTTTTTTGCAGCTTTTATTCCCAACATCAAATGCAGCACGCCCGTTTTCTATGTTGGGTCTTGGTGATATAGTTATTCCTGGTATGAAAGTGAACTCTGTAATATCTCGGACCTCATACTTCTTCTTGCTGCTTGAGATATTTATTCCCCCACCTGGATGCAACTTATAAAATATATCTAAAACGTAATCCAACGCGCTGTTTTTTCAGGCATTTTTGTGGCATTGGCACTGAGATTTGATGTTTCAAGAGGTACCGAGATCAAATATTTTAGAAGCGCTTTTGCAGGATATGCTGTCGGTGTGGTCCTCACAATTGTTGTTATGAACTGGTTTCAAGCTGCACAGGTGAATATCGTTCTAACAGAATTAACATCGTGTAGATATTTTTTACTTTGCATTTCATGGATCGTACATTTCTTTATTATCTTCATCTTCCTATTATATATTGGTTCTTTTATTCCAGCCTGCACTGCTGTATATTGTGCCTGCTGTTATTGGATTTCTGGCTGCCCATTGCATTTGGAATGGGGATGTCAAAGCTGTGAGTCATTTAATGTGTACTTGAGATTTTAATTATCCACATTATATTTCACTAATGTTGCATCTACGAATAATTGTGCGCCATAAACTTGTGCAGCTGTTGGAGTTTGACGAGTCAAAAACAGCTTCGTCCGAAGAAACTAATGCGGACGCGAACAAGAAAGAAGAGTGAACTTGATTGGTAACAACATGTGCAAGTTTTATAGGGAAACTAACTAACTTATGCAACACAGATGACAAAAACAGATCTTGTCGAGTAGCAAGAAGATAATTTGTTCCCTAACATATTGCTGCGATTTTCTGAGTGTTAATCTGTATTTTCAGATCCTAATTATATAAATTTTGCTTGCCTACCTTCTATATATGTCCCAACTATTGATCTTTAAATTCTCCATGGTTCTTAGTCTCCGAGTTTATATCGTATTTGGTGGTTCGTGTCTGATTACCAATGTCTAGCTCAACTAGCTCACTGACGTTTGTTTTCTAATATGCTTCAATTTGGTTGGAAAATCCGGAAGTGTTAAGGATGAGTTTTGTATCTAAATCTATTTCTAACTCATTCTTACACACAGACACACACACACAAGGAATCAATTGCCTTGAATCAATTAGTATATTGATTATGTTTGTAACTCGACCCCGATTGGTTCATAAATACTTCATAACACCAATAGAAGTTGCAGAAGCAAATCGATAATGAGAGAGCCTATAGATGACAACTCTAATTGAGTATTCTATAGTTGACAACTCTAACTGAGTATTCTATGGTTGAAATTGAAAAGGCAAAAGAATCAGATTCTGTACAAGAAAGTTAAATAGCTGAGTGAAGAGCGACAATCTACAACATTCGGCTATTTAAAGATCCATGGTCCTTGCTGGTCGAAAAATATGTATCTTAGGGAAAAAAAAAAGGAAAGAGAGAACTGTACAGGAGCCCATCACTCAGAAATCATCCTCGGGCTATCCTTGGTATGTTACTATTCATTTGCTAGTTTCTTATTCTACTGAAGAACTTGTCTCTGCACTTGTTTCGTCTTCACTGATACCAGTCGGGATACTTTCTACGGACCTACAAAACACATATTATGACATGTGAAAAACCAGGAGAAATAATAACAAAATAAGACTTCAGTAGTTAGCGAAAGAAAAATTTGGCTTGGAAATATTATGGAGCAATTTTAAGAGCCAAAGATTAACATCCAACCTTGCGACCATCGATGATCTCTTCAAATGCGACTGCTGAGGGCATTCATTTCTCATTCTTTTCAGATCCTATGAATTAAGAAAAATACGAACAAATTCATATAATCAATAACATTGCGGAACTAAAATGCTGGTCTTTTTATCTAACCACTAAAAAGAAAAAACTTACGTTCCTATCATGCTTGTCACGAACCAGAATCTGATTTTCACTTTCTAGCCTCCTATCAGAATGAGTTTTTCCATCCTGCATCATTAATGAATGAAAACTGTATGATCACAAAAGTTAGAAAAAATATTAGCCTGACCGCAGGTTAGATGAAAAATAATATCCTTAAACCTTTGCGATTCTCTTAGGCTGCATCTGCTCAAACCCTTTCTCGACCAAATTGGGTGACTCGTTTCCAATAATTTCTTGCTTGTAATCATTTCTTGGCAAATTGCAAAACGTACTGAAGCTAGACTCTTGCTCCTTCCTTAAATTCCCGACACAACGGCTGCTGGAGAAAGTACTCATTTTCATAACTTGTGCACCATTTTTGTACTTCATTTCCCTAGGAGAAACTTCAGGAAATTCTTCAAAAATGTCCCTCTGGGGATAGCAAGCACCATTGTTGGATAAATTAGTATTCTCTTCATAGCTTTGGTGAACGTAGTTATCAGGAATTTCGGACATTTGTGGCACTTTAAAGCTTGTTCCATTCATGTTGGGGTTGTTGGAGGTCACCTTGGAGGTGTATTCATGCCCCTGTATCGATAGAGGAAAAAAGAAAATAGAGTAGATAAATTTATAGTATAATTGACCACAAGTGGAATAGTGAATCGATGAGTTGGAAACTAGTGCAGGCTCTCATATCAAATGTTCGTCTCTAAAGAGAACTCTGCTAATTCCAGATTCACTTGCCTTGCCAGACTTAGAATAATGGTGGAATTTTGAAATATCAGGTGAGGCAGGCGGAACAGGTTCTTCAGTATAGAAAGTTTCTGCAAAAAATAACATTACAACAAACAAGTCAAGAATACGATTGATGGAAAATAGGGGTAAAGGACCATCAGCTGAAGTAAATTATGTGGAAGAAAAAAAAAGGACAGAAAGAACATATACTCACTAAATGAAAAGTGTAATGGTTAGGTAACATTCTCTAAATAAAAAAAATATCAATTATCGTAAAAAAAAAAATTATTAGCATCTACGAGAACTAGCTCCAAATGCACCCAGAGCATACTAAACTTTTAGAGATCTCCAAAGATTAAGTATTCGATGGACCAGAAAATCTTATGAACTTCGTCAACAAAAATAAGATACCAACACAAACTATTTACAAATGAACAAAAATCTTGCAGAAGTTATAAACTAAAAGCACACCACCAGTGGGTCCACCACCAATTTGAAAATGACAAGACTCAAGAAAACAGAACACCGAAAGACCCAAAAAGTGATCCTAACCTCTGTCATCAGGATTCTGCATTGACAACTCAAAAGCACCGGGAGGTAGCGGGTCAAACTCAACACCGAGCGGCGGGCCATCCTCCCTACAGTGCTTCCCCAGCTGCATTTTTACTGCAGTTATAGCAGCATTCTCAACCCGAGCCTTCACTTTCAAGTAACCCGCCGGGCCAAGTCTAGGATTGTTTAGGCCCGTCATATCGCTTGGGAATTTTGGCACTCGCTGTCTTGATCTCGCCATGTCAAACGGGCTCCCTTTGCCATTGTTTGCCATATTCCTTAGTGAGGAGCTACTTCCGGAAGATGCATCATCCATATGGTAGTTCGTCCCGAAACAGCGGCCATTATCTTGCTCTTGTGCGAGCTTATATTCTTCGAGAGTCGATCTTTCGCTCTCGAATTCCCTTATGTCGAGTTTCCTATTCTCAACCTGTTTTGTGCTTCCGCACGAGTCTTGCAAGTTAGCTAATCTCTTGTCCTTCAACCTCCGGTGGCAAAACCATTCGGAGACTTGCTTTTCGGTCAAGCAGATTTGACCGGCGAGTTGTGCTTTCATGGACTCTGTCAGATATTTATGTTCTAGGAAGAAAAACAAAGGAAAAGAATGGATTATTTTTAACGATTGTGTTCACAAGAAGATGCACGAGCAGTCATTGCATAACCGGATGAATGAGAAGTTACCGTTGTAGAATTTCTCCAATGTTTGAAGCTGAGTGTGTGTCTTCACGGTCCTTTTCTTGTTGTTTTCACGAAGGGTATTATCGTCTTCAGAGTGCATCTCCTGTGAGTATGCACCATTATGTTCTGAAAGCAAGAGTGGTAGTAAGTAACTAGACAATCAACTGAAAAGCGGTGTCATAAAATCGATATGCAAAATTAACAGATAAATGTTGCTTTGAGCCATCAAATGTTCGCATTAAGGTTATTTCACACCAAGATGTTTGCGTCTAAGCAAATAGATATTCAAAAATCATTTTTGTCATTTAAAACAGTAGGAAAGAAATATTGCAGCATTACAGTGATAAACGAATTTCTTGTATCCTTTGTTATGTTTAAGTAGTCTTCGAGCTAATAAATTCACAAGTTCAAGATCAAATTAGCCTGATGTTCAGTTGCATTTCTAATTGATGTATGTATAAGCGGCATGCTTAACCCTCGACGTTTTTCTGCAACACTAAAAGAGAAACAGAAGAAGAGGCTGGTTGAGAAAGATATCCATAAAAAGCAAATCATCCCCAAATCGAACTGTGTTCGTCAGACTTTACTAGACGAATGCTATCATGTGATACACACATGCGGCAATTATCTGGAATTCATTGCATGAGCTTATTCATTCCTCTGATAGATCTCAAACACAACCACCTCTTTATAATGGAAACTCAAGAGATGGTTTTGTTCAGT